GTGGGGGTGTGTCTTGGCCAGAAGCGCCTCCAGGTCCGCTCTGTGCAGGGCCTCTGGGGGCATCAGGATTGTGGGGGACCGACACAGAAGTTCATGACCCATACCAACTCCGGGGTATGTGAGGCAGGTTGGATGCAGTCAATAGGAACGCGCCCGCCGCGCGGCAGATGGGGGCGCAGCGCCTCGCTTTGAGAGCGTAGCTGCGGCGCGGCGCGTCCCCGGGCGCGCTGAGGACCGCCAAGGCGGCTGCCGGCCGTGGGGGCACGCCAGCTGTGCCTGCACGCTTATGGGACGTGCCTAGAGACGCGGAACCCTGAACCCATCAGGCGCACCCGATATGCAGTAGATCGTGACGCGCCCTTTGCTGCCCAGGCTGCCATCATCCAGGTCCTCAAATATGGTGACCGCCGGCCCGTCCCCCTCGGCCTCGGCCGCGCCGGGGCCAGCGTCGCCGGGCAGCAGCACTGTCTTATCCTTCTGGCGGAGGATCAGGGGCTGTGGCGTCGTGTGCGTGCGCGCGCGCGCGGCCCGAGGGGTGGGGGGGTAGGCAAGGTGAGGGGTGCGCCAGAGAGGCGTCGTCTGCAGCGCAGCGATCCGACTGCTGCTGAAAGTGGCAAGATCGCGATGTTTTTGGATTTTCTCATCACGTCAAACGGCCGATGGTGAACTCGCGTGTCAGACTGTGTCTGCTAGGGGCGATCTAGCATGGGTGGCGTGTGCGGTTGGGGTCGGTTGCTGGACGCGCGCGGGACACCTGTCACCTGCCCTGGCGTGGGCGCGTTCCGGATGGGCAGCGCTGCAGGGCGCTTGCGGATCGCCGCCGTGCGCTGCTCGGGCGCGGGGCTGACGCGCCGCATCCTCGCGGGCGCGGGTCCGATGGGCGCAGTTCCTGGCGCGCCAGGCGTAGCCGCTGGTGGTGCGATGGGCTGGTTGGGCGAGGCGATGCCCGGCCCATCCCCATCCGGCCCGTCCGATAACCTGATGTATCCTGAACGCATTACGCCTCTGCTGGCGCCCCCGTTCAGGGCCCTTGGAGCGATCCCGGTATAAGTTTGGTCTGGGCTGATCGGCCTAGAGTTTCCTCGTGGCGCCCCGTTGAGGCCTTGATTCAAATGTAGCATATGTATATGCAGCCACGGGGTGCAGGCTGATGAAAGGGCGCTGCTGTGGAGATTGACTGATTGTGTTGATTAGAGGGCTCGAGAGACGTAAGTTATCTTATGTGTTGAAATGATGCTGTTAAAGGCACATGTATTGTGCGACAAACTTCAAGGAAGATTTGCCTGGCGCATCCCGCATCGTGGATTCGACCATACGTTGGTAATGCCGCCCTAACCCAGCCAGACATTAGAGGGTTGCGACACACTGACACATGACATGCGTCGAGAATGGCCGCTCGTTGTGCTGGTCATGGTGGCGGTGGCAATGGTCAGCGCAGTCAATGCCGTCAGTGACAGCGCGTCGCTGCTCCTGCCGACAAGGAACGCCCCTCGGCCGCGGCGCGGGAGGGACCTACTGTTCACTGCCGGCTTTCCCTGGGAGCCTACTCCCACAGTTGCCTGTGATACGGATGGCACTTGGTGAGGACTAAAGCACCAGGCCGAATGCAGCTGCTGCGCAGCAGCTTCGCGGCTCCACCTGGTGCCGACAAGCGCTGGCCGGCGGCTGGCCCTTGCACCGCATCACGCACCTCAGCACGACTCATGCTCACTGCCGACACCCGGCAACAACCCACGCCAGGTACTCTGAGCTTCGCTACGCGTCCGGGGCCAGCACGGCCCACCCCTGCTTCAACATATGGACCGACCCCGCGACCAGCGGCTACACATTAGCCAACACATACGCCCCCGTCTCTGGCGGAGGCACGGGCGGCACATACCTGACGTCGGTGCTGGCCCTCGGGCTGGAGGTCGCCAAGTCTTGCAACACCAGCATAGCAGGCGTGACGGTCAATGGGACGGCACGGACCCCTTCGTTCTCGACGAGCAAAGCGGCCGGCGTGCTCAACATCACGAACGTGGCGATCGATTACGACGCTGCCAGCGGTCTGCAAGTCTGTCTCAACCTGCAGGTGAGTCGGCACGGCGACGATCAAAGTCGCAGTGCCGACTTGAGCATGGCCACGCATGCTGATGTGGACAAACTCATGGTGCGTCGGGAGATGGCAGAGGATTAGCAATAGGATTAGGAGTGTTACAAGATCCCGCGGTCGCCCGCTCCTGGAGCCATCCAGGCTCATGGGATGGAGTGGCAGGTTGGCGAAATTCCGCTGCGCAGCTGGTGCTTGCGGAGCCGGCAGCCCCACTGACGCCGCTGGCTGACACGCACCGTGTGCGCGCTCTCCCCCAGGCGCCGTGCTCCACGCTGACCCAGCTGTGCACGGGCAGTGGGGGCTCTTACTGCGGTAGCTTTGTGCTGCTGCGCCCCTACAAGACAAAGGGCGCCTGCACGGGGAACTGTCCGAATGGGGACGCATCTGCATGGTGCGCGAGGCCCTCCGGGCCTCAGCACGCACTGATCTCAGGATGTCTTGGTACCAGAAAAGTATGGTTGAATATGTTTGCGCGCTTGGCTGTATGCGTCATCTCACACCACATATTGCAGAGGCTGATTCAACACATGGACCCCGCCGCACACTCCCAAATACAATTTTTCCCATGCACGCGCCACAGGATTTGCGGCGTCAAAGACATGTGGTGAGTCTAGGGAGGATGACCAGTGGCAGGAGGTGGCCAGCAGCATTTCAATGCTGGAAGCCCTGCGATGGTGATGTCACACATGACCTGCTAGGAGCCGCACACATGTGCGGTGAGCAACCACCTGTTTTCTTGATGCAGGTGGGTCGCACAGCCGTCCCCCTCCCCAAGTCCGAGCCCCTCGCCCAGTCCCAGCCCCTCGCCAAGTCCCAGCCCCTCCCCAAGTCCAAGCCCTTCACCCAGCCCAAGCC